AATAATGTAAAGTATTTGAAAAATAATGTGTTTTTTGAACATTAAAGCATGTCAACATATTCTGTTACACCAAATACACAAAATAATGATCTTTAAAAAAGCATCATATGACCCCTTTAACGTCTAAAGCTGTGATGAACAGAGAGCAACTGGAAACAAATCACTCTTCAGTATGTATCTGAGAGAATTGATGAATGTCTTGCTAATGAAAGCTTCAGCTCATCAGAGATAGAGGGAGGTTAATTATAGATATTACAGGCCAAACTGATGTCCTCTCTATTTAACACCACTGGTTTTAAAGGGCAATTCCTCCTTATATTAAAATGTAGTGTTGTTCAAATGCTGAAGATTTTTTATGAAGTACTTTATTTATGAACTTGATGTTTTGTTTTTTTCTCTGATAGTTTGAATATGTGGCTCAGCACCTGGTGTTTGCCAACTGCATCCCGCTCATCCTCAAATTCTTCAACCAGAACATTATGTCTTACATCAGTGCCAAAAACAGGTAGACATTTGGATATATGTTCATTCAAAACCAACTTCTGTGTCTGTCAGTCTGTCTTTTAAACATATTGTGTTTTCTGACGGCAGCATTTGTGCCCTGGATTTCCCTCATTGTGTGGTTCATGAAATGCCTGAACTCACAGCTGAAAGCCTGGTAATCATACAAAACACTTATTTTATCCGTTTTTTTAAAACTTAAACTTAAACCTTTTTTGTAGGTAAAATTAGGTGAGTAAAAAAGAAAGAAACTATTATTTTTGTTGTTTGTTAAGATGCTGAATGTGTGTCTGTGTGTGTAAACAGGAAGCTGGTGACAGTAATCAGTTTTGCTGGCGTAATCTCTTCTCCTGCATCAACTTACTGAGGATCCTAAACAAAATTACCAAGTGGAAACACTCAAGAACTATGGTGAGAGAAAGAAAATGTTTATTTTAACGAATAAAAGCAGTAAGCCATCTCATTTTCTAATACATAACTAGGCCTTATGCAATAAATAAAAAGAATTTTCAGTGTAAATTGTTCATAAATCCTATTCATTACTATTAGTATTATTTATTTATTTATTTATTTTGTTTTTTATTTATTTTCATGTATTTTTATTTATTTAATTTGTATTATGCTGTTTTTGTACTATTGTATAACCTTGCCCCACTTGGAAGTAATTTTATTCTGTTTCTCTTGCGGCATGGATTTTTTTTCCGTTAAAAAGAGATACAGAATACATATCAGTGATGATATATGTATAAATAGCTAGTGATATCAGTCAGTGGCATCTCCAATTGTTTGATACAGTCTGTTCATGTGGAGAAAATCTATATAAAGGATTTTTTAAATGAATTAATGAGTTTTTACAAAACAACAGTTTTATGTGGTTTGTGCTGGGTCTCTTTCCTTTACAGATGCTGGTGGTGTTCAAGTCTGCTCCCATCCTGAAGAGGGCGCTCAAGGTCAAACAGGCCATGATGCAGCTCTACGTCCTCAAACTCCTCAAGATACAGACCAAGTATCTGGGCCGCCAGTGGAGAAAGAGTAACATGAAAACCATGTCTGCCATCTACCAGAAAGTCAGACATCGTCTCAATGACGACTGGGCGTATGGGAATGGTAAATATCAGGAGGGGGGGGTTCACTCAGGGTTGGGGGCAGGGCCTATCAGAAAGACACACAACTGTAGACCCTGTAGAAGGTCTACTGTAGGCTTGGCATCATTACATCTAGAATTATTTCCTCGGTGAATCATGTGCCATACGCTGCAATTCAGAGGCTGCATCTTTTAAAGGTGCTGTATGAATGTTTTTTTTACTCTACTAAAGCATAAAAATACTGTAATATGCTTGCAGATATTTAGGAAACATGCTAATGTCCTACAGCCAGTTATTCTACTTTGAAATGTGTATTCCGTGTCTGCATGTCTGTTTTTGTTTTGGTCCACGTGATTCCGCCCACCCCCAATTTACCTAATAGTGTTTCAACACACCGGGTTGCCAGTTGGCAGAAAACACCGCATATTGCAGCCATGGAATCCAGCAAACAAACCGGGTCAGAGATCACAGATTCTACCCAACCTAAAAAGCCTCTGCATCCATCTAAAAAATTTCTATGACCCCATCAACTTATGGTGTAAGGCTTTGTTGCCTTCCATTGTCAATTGCACTTGTTCCTGTTGTGTGTCCTCAATCTGGCAACCCCTTATGGGTATGAAGTCTGAGGAGGAGGGGGTGGTAGAAATGACGCTCTCAAATATTTTGAATTTGGACTGCAATACCCATTTCAACCACTAGCTGTCAATATTACATACTGCACCTGTAAAGGCTGCATTCGAAGACCGAATGCATCACAGCAATGAGACAAAGGCTGTTTTGGAAGCTCCTTCAAATGCAGCCTCGAAATGCATCATTCTATTCCCGGGCCATTAAGGATATGACAAATGAATCCTTTGCGACCCAGACTAACCATTTAACAATGTTTGGTTCGACCTTCGAAGGATGCAGCCCCTGAATTGGGACACAGCTATTGTAGTTGTTCTCATATGTAATACATGCTCCTATTTTTCATTCTCTTCTGCCAGATATCGATGCTCGGCCGTGGGATTTCCAGGCGGAGGAGTGCGCACTACGCGAGAGCATTGAGAAATTCAATATGCGTCGTTACGATAAGAATCAGAACAGTGAGTTTACACCTGTAGACAACTGCCTTCAAAGCGTTTTAGGCCAGCGCGTCGACTTGCCCGAAGACTTCCATTACAGCTATGAGATGTGGCTTGAAAGAGAGGTTTTCTCCCAACCTATTCAGTGGGAAGGTCTGCTACAAGCCCAGTGATCCTGTTGTGATTATTATGGGACTTTTGTTTCTTATTAAACCGACACAATTACTGTGGGATCACGCAAATACTCAAAGCACTGAGGGTCTGCCGTTCCTGTTCTGTAATGAATTCTTGTAAATCGAGATGTGTGTGTGTATATGTGAATATGGAATGGTGGTCTTCCTTATTCTGTGTAAAAGCATCTGGTGCTTTGGGTAAAAATACAAATATATCTGTATATGGAATGAAAGAGTGATATCTTCTCTAATAACTGAAGCACAATTTATGTATAATAACTGCACAATACAGTATTCTAACATATATACTATTCTGAAATGATCAAGATTTATTTATATGGTCACTCGGTGTGTCTAACTGTGGAAATGTTTAATATTTATGTAAATATGAGCACTTCATGAGGTTATGAGGTAGCACCTGTGGCGGGGTCTTTCTCAAAAAGTGCTTGCGTGGAGTTGATGTGTTAAAAATTCATTTATGTATTTATTTTTCCCTGTAGCATCATGTGTTAAACAGGAGGGTGTCTATGTTCTCGAGAAAGCAGTGAGTCACCACTTTTTGTCTCCACGTAGCACTGCACATCACACAAAAGACCCCTGAGCAGCACAATACACACATTCAAAGTGTCCTTGGTGACTGTACCGTCACCCACACTAAGCATGTCGCTCACTAAATGGTGCTGTTTTTTACACTTTGTTTGATCTCCTTGCTAACTGCGTCATTCTCTTCTGAGATTATATAAAAAATTTGTGCTCTCTCCATCAAAACAGTGTCATATACGGCACCTCACTGTTCATTCATGCTTGTTTCACAGGGTTTGTCTTGCAATATAATTTTTTATATTCTCATTGTTTTGTACTAAATTAAGGTGCTGTGTAAATGAAACTACCTATGATGATCCATGCCAAATACAGCACCATTACTTTTTTTTTTATATGTACACTTTGTTGTACAGACTGCACTGTAAGTGAATGTGGAAAATTGATGTAAGAGTCTTTAAAAATTATAAAGAGAGTTAATAACCATAACATTGTGTAACATATCTCTGTCTGCAGTTTTAGTTGTGTGTCTTATTAACACACTAGATGATCCACAAAGAGAAATTACTAAGTTGTAAATATTCAGTTTACCACAGGAGGTCGTCAAGTTGAACTAACTGTGATTGATTCATTTAGTGTAAATCTTTGAAATGGGCAGCGTATAAGATATTTTTCCACTTTATACCATCACATTTCCTCATGGAAAAGATCAAAACTGACCATCGAGTCAGAAAACAGTGAAGATGATTCATCTTGAATACATAAACGAGCTTTAAGGATCATCAAACTCCACGAGAGTCTCATAGCAGATGATAAGAGCTTGATTTTTTTATATTGGCGCAAAATCGTGAAAACTACAACTGCATAATGCGACGCTCTTCAATGCGGCAGTTTTTCATCCTCACCACTAGGCGGCGCAAGCGGGTTTCAGCTTCAGTCTGACTCCTTCGGCTGCTTGACAACATGACGCTTGATGACAGTCACAACAACAACAACAACACGTGCAGATCCTGCAGATGATTTAGTCTTAAAAGCTGCTAATGTCACATCTTTCAGCTCAACTGCAAACAAAACCGACACACAGACTGATCAAACGAGTGTCACGCGACTCACCTGTAACGTAAGTAACTTTCCGCATAAAGTGAACTTGCACTATATAACAGTCGTTCTGTTTTGTATAAACCTTTGTTTCAGTTTCTGTACGTGTATGTAAGAGAAATGTCAGAGCAGGGCACCTTTGTCAGTTCATTTAGATTCATGTAATGATGGATAGTATGTGTTGTTGCATTTAAAATGTATACATGGACACTACAAAGCGAACATACTCGGACTAAAAGCCTCAAAACCTGACTTTCGATGAGGTCTTTAACCTAAAATCATGTTGTTTAAATGTGTTTGTTATTGGACAGCTAGCTATGAATTTGTTTCAAGGTTTATCACAGACTCTCAGGCCTTTAGACTAACAAATAAATCGGTAGTTGTTGCTTTACCTTTTATAATCTTTTAATGAATGTTATATTATATACAATATTATAAAGTGGAATAATAATGAATCGTGCTGTTTGTCGCTTTTGAAATTGCAGTCTTACTGTCAGTATTATTCGAACTATCTCTGACCTGTTAACACTTAGATTGTGCTTTTGTTTTTCTGTATTATCAATCATTTTTGTGATTCTGGACCGTCTTGTTGCTTTACTAGTGTGGATAAATGAGCTTAATGCAGTTTATGTTGAAGCATTTATATATTAAATATTTTTGAAACCCAATGTCTGCCTTGTCTCTCCAGAATAAGTGATGTGTTGTTGGCTGTAAAGTGGTCCGGCTGAAGCAGAGCTCTGGGACGTGTGGACAGACATTGACTGTAATGATGGACATCTGCTCAGGGACAGGTAATGTATCTCGTGTGAATGTGTGTTCTAGTGCACTAAACATGGAGGTTACCAGCATTTGCTTTTTGGAGGGCCTTTCTTTGAAAAGCAAATGATGGTAACCTAAGCTGATGGGGAAGGGACAGGGGGTGAGAATTTTTATGCAGCTTTATTTACGCATAAAGCGAATTTCTCTCGTTCAGTGACTCACGCGCTGTTTAGCAAATCAATCGGTAGTTGTTGCGTTTCATTTATAATCTCTGAACAAATCGCGCTGATATTGACTCTGTGAAGTGTAAAGTTTGTCTCTGTTGGTCCTGCAGCAGGTGTTGTGTGAAGCTCTGATGATTCTAGTTCTGACTCTTCATAAGAGCACAGCCATTAAAATCATCTTTTATTTGTTTTCTACATTCCTGTTCTCATGTTTTGTTGATCAGGGATTGTTTTGGATGGGAAGATTGTTTTTTAGTATTATTCGGCATTTACATTATATTTTTTGTGGCCTGCAAGAAAGTAATTTAATTAATAGCATCGAAACGAACAGTAGCTTGAAGGAAACTGATTGATACAGCATTACAGAAGTTTAATAGAAGCTGCAGTGTTTTATAAATATGCAATGTTAATATATTTCTCTTATTACCTGTTTTTAGTCTTGAGATGCAGTATGTCTGATAATGTCTGTGTTTGTGTCGTGTCTCTCCAGAATAAGTGATGTGTTGTTGGCTGTAAAGTGGTCCGGCTGAAGCAGAGCTCTGGGACGTGTGGACAGACATTGACTGTAATGATGGACATCTGCTCAGGGACAGGTAATGTATCTCGTGTGAATGTGTGTTCTAGTGCACTAAACATGGAGGTTACCAGCATTTGCTTTTTGGAGGGCCTTCCTTTGAAAAGCAAATGATGGTAACCTAAGCTGATGGGGAAGGGATGGGGGGTGAGAATTTTTATGCAGCTTTATTTATTTTTTTCAGTCTGTGCAAAAGTATAACCGCTGCGGGTCACAGTGCTGGAAGCTCCAGGGGGAGACCGTACTGATATCCCCCTTCTTCAGGCGCGCCTTCACACACTCCAGCATTCACTCGTATCGCAGAGACCCGGCTGGGATCAAACCAGCAACCTCTGAACCCGTGAGGCAGCGCTCTTACCTGCGAGCCACAGATCTCTTGCTGGAGCACATGAAGGAACTTATATCTGACTGTTTACCTGTGATTTCCCAATAAAGATGTTGACGGAAGCTCTGTCTGGGATTTAAACCCACGTCTCCATCGCAGTCTCATCCTCAGAGGACGTGTGTTTATCCACTGACCCATCATTGATTTCATGTTGTGGTTTGGTGTTTGAGTGACTTTGTTGGATGAGATCAGTTTAAAGTAAGCAATAGTGGGATTAGAACCAGGACTTTTATGTTTGAGAGTGAAGCCTTTAACCACTGAGCCACAGAGTTTGTTAGTTTATAAATTTTTTATTTTTAAGGTCGTTTAGATTTTAAGTTTAGGCTGAGTAAAAGATTTGATTGCTTCTGTGGGATTCGAGCACACGTCTTTGTTGTAGTTTCATGGTTCAAAGTCACATGTTTAGCCACAAGGTGGTCTGCTAAGTTTTTAATCTTGTTTGAACCTCATTTTAAGTGACGCAAGTAAGTTTAAAACTTGCTAGATTTGATTCAGTACTTTCACACCCAAAGGTGAACAATCCTCTGTACCACAGAGATTGTGTTTAAGGCACTGTCGTTTTCTGGTCTTTTACATTAGTATTTACTACTATCAGTTTAATTATTTATCATTTAAACCTCAAGATACTTTCAAATTTATGTGTTTACTACTTTACTCTTTAAGAATTATTTATTTTTAGTTAAAATAATCTAATATGCAAGTAGGTTATTGCACTCTTTTGTGATGAATTTTGTGAGTTACACCAATCTAAATCAAGTCTAATATCTGGTATGCACTGTTCTCCTCCAAGAGCAGAAAAACAAACCAAGAATGCATTGCAATATCAACAGCCAATCAGAATAATTCACACATTTCATTGTTCTTGCTCCAGTTAAAACACACTTGCAAAAGAGAGAGAGAATAAAATAATTAAAAAGCCCTCCTGTGGCGTTTCTTCTGAATTACAGCACTACAAATCGAGTCTAATAAATGCACTATATCTCTGCAAGAGGGTGAAAACACAACGCATTTCAGTATGAACAACAAAGCTATTTACACGATGTTCTGTCCCCTCTTCTGTTAAAAGTGATACATTTATTAACAAGTTAGAAGACCTAAAATGGTGATGTTTTTTAATTACACCACTGCAAATCGACTCTAATGTCTTTAAACAGCCCTCGCGTGGTGATATTTGTGAATTAGCAAATCAATTTAAATATAAGTACTTTATTGTCATTACACACAAAACAAGTAATGATGTATTTATGTGTTAAGGATGGAATCAATTCTAATGAACTAAAACAGGCTGCCTCCTCCTGTGGTGATTTTTGCGAATTACACTGCTGCAAAAAGTTTTTCATTTAAAGTGCTTTATTGACATGCATGGTTACATACAATACTGTCAATATAACAATAACAACAATAAAAAACTATCAAAAATAAGGTGCTAAGTAATGCATAAAAAATAAGATAAATTATACATAATTAATTCTATTGGACCTAAATGGGTTGCGCCCTCCTGTGGTGATTTTTGTGAATTACAGCGCTGCGAATTGAGACTAATGAACTGGGAGATTTGAGTGTCGCCCTCTTGTGGAGGATCCAGGTTCAAATCTTGTGGGATTTAAAATAATTAATTAAAGGGGTCATATGATGCTTTTTTAAAGATCATTATTTTGTGTATTTGGTGTAACAGAATATGTTGACATGCTTTAATGTTCAAAAAACACATTATTTTTCAAATACTGTACATTATTGTAGGTCCTCTATGCCCCGCCTCTCTCAAACGCTTCGTTTTCTACAAAGCCCCTCCTTCCGACAAGCGCAGTCTGCTCTGATTGGCCAGCTGACTCAGTGCATTGTGATTGGCCGAACACCGCAAGCACTCGTCGGAAATGTAACGCCCCTTACCATAATCGCAGCTTCAGCTTTCAACATAAATGTAAAGACAGTAAATAATGTCATTAGTTTTACCATCAGTTCAAGCCCGAAAGGGGAACAGCGTCGAGTGACAGACACAGTGATGAAGCTGGTATGTGTTTGCAGTACACAAGCCACGGTTAAGGCGGTTGTGACCCTGTCTCTCTCTCTCTCTCTCTCTCTTTCTCACACACACGCACACACACACACACACACACACACACCTGTTTTCCAAACCTGCGCATTTAAACAGTAAAT